AACCGTACTACCGTACCGTAGTGTCTGACAATGGACAACGTGGTTTCCAATGTTATTCCAAACCAAAATATATAAAAACTGAGCTTGACCTCGAAGGTCAACTTTCAAAGCAACCGCAATCCAAATTTCATAGTAAAAGATCATTTATACGTGAATTAGGTACATACACAGAAAAAACTTTCAGCTTTAATAAAATAACGGAAAAGTGGTCGTAGCGGGCTTTTGGACTATTAAGCGATATCGCTTTTTTTTTAAGAAAAAAAAACACTGAATTTTTTCTCTACGCCTCAAGAGTAGTGGCATCACGGAGGACGGACTTGAAGAACTTCTAAACGACTTTAAGTACCAATTTTCCGCCCGCTTTTAGAATATCCGCCGTAATTCGACAGCAGCCTAATGACAGGGCAGGGTCGTGGGTTAGAAACCGCCATTAGACTACTTTCGTGAACTACTCCTTACACAAGCATTTTAAGCTTACCAGGAGTGGTTTAAAAGAATATTAGTAATGGTAATTAATAGAATTACTAGCATTTTAAAAAATCTATCATCTCCCGGGGCCTCGCCATTTAAAAGAGGTGAAAAGCCATTTCTATCTTGTTCAGACTGATGTTCAGGATATCATAGGAAAAGTATCGATTGAGACTTGCAATTGATTTTAAGTTACTTGCATGGGACTGCTACGATGATGTTGGAGTCCCCACAAGTGAGTTGGTAATCTCTCAATGTCACTAAAAGTCGCAGGTGCCCGGAAATTACGCTGCCACAATCGGTCTTACTTCTGCCGGATTTTCAAACTTTGGTTCTAGCGTTGAATGCATTAGACATGACATCTCCAACTTAACGTTTAGTTCAGTAGGCCTCTCAGCATTTATTGATCGCTACTAGTTTCTATCCCCACGATCACTGAGAACATCACTGAAAATCTCCCAGCTGATAGTCATAATAAAGTCAATCTCATTATTTGTCGTACCGTCGGGACTTCACCAGGTGCCCTGGTGTGTCCAGTGTCCTGGTCCTCACTTTCCTTGTGGCCGCTTCTGAAAGAAAGAGTTTATCATAAGGAGTACTTCCTTCACCATAAAGTCGGCCAGATGTTAATCCCTGTGGTTTTGTTCCCTATTCCCCTGTCGTCCTTTCGTGTGCCTGGTTTTGCGTTGAAGTCTTCCATCAACACATTTTCTCCGCTTCCTCATCCTGGTGTGCCAAGACTAGTGCGTTAATCTCTATGATCTTCTTCTAAGATAAGGTACGCCACTCTTGTTGACACACTTGACTTTACAACGTTGTTAATGAGAGGCTTATCGACGATAAACCCGACACCTCCAGACAGATGGTCGCCCTCTCGGTAATAGAACAATTTACCGAATTCGAAGATTACAGGTTTCTTCTAAACACAACCTATGTCTTCTTTCAGCTCCAGAAACTTATTGTCAGTCCTCAGGGTGCGGGCGTTAAATGTTATCAGGTTGCGTCATCTATTGCGGTAACCGGACCTTTACTGGAGATTCTTAGAAACACCTACCCCACCAACACTACGTTAGATGGTAATAAATAGGACATAATTATATAAAGCTTGTGACTGCAATTAGGATTTAGTTTCAGGTTTCTTGAGACACAATCTAGTATCCATAAGCAGAAAAGAAGTTGGCCTCCACTACATGGAGTGGTTGGTATCAGTGGATGCAGTGGACCATGTTAATTGGCAAAAAAAATAATAATAGTGTTTTATAAAATTTTACGGTGAACGGTACGTCAAACTGTTGTTAGAGATAGTTTATGGCTGATGTCGTCACATTGACAAACCGGAAATCCTTTCGGAAATCGTGAATCGCGTCCAATGAATATTCTTCTTCTTATTCATCGGCCTGCAAACTCCTGGACTGATGGAGTTTCCGGTCACCAATTTGGGTATTTTACGCCTGACAGAAGTAAAATAATATGAAATATTTAATTTCCACCCCGATTTGGCAAGAGTGATTTCTCAAATCAAACCAAATCTAAAACATTTATTTCAAATTTTTCATCCATAGATGTTAGTAAACAACTAAATATTATCCTAGTGTTAGTGTTATTAATAACATTATTAATATAATTTATTTGAATGTAATCCTGCGCCTAGGTGAGAGTCCGACGCGTGTAGACAAATCCAGTGCTCTAATTATGGAGAATCCCACCTGTTTGCGAATGCACCCAGAATGCTGTGCAAAGTTTCGCACACATTTCTTAACAGTGAGGCACCTGATTTACGGATGATACTATAAAAGCAATTGGTTTGTGCAAAACATAGCCAGCTAACTGCAAAAACGCGGCAACCCAAGCAACACCCTAAACGCATTGTTTTATTAAACACGCAGAGAACTGTACGCTCACTGCGTGTAGTTACCCAGACCACACGTATAGAACTACTGACAACACGCCTCAAAGTATCAGTTCAACTTGTTAACTACAGCGTGCAAATCTACGAACCAGCATATTGCCGTGAACAAACAGCGCCCTTCGTTCCCTTTCTATATCAATGCCATCATTTAACGTATCCGTGACCCAATAACCAACATATTTAAACCGACTAACGAGCTTTTACCATGTTCCACATATTATTACTTGAAGCCCATTTTTATAAAAAAAATTACCTGCTTTTAAAACCATTAGCTCACCCTTAAATGCGTTGTTGTTTACCTGATAACCGTTCGTGTTTTTGAATCCTGACAACAGCGCTACCACCGCATCCACTTGTGAATCTAAAACATCCCGAAACCAACTCAATACGTCCAAAAATCATCAATCAGTCCAGCTGATTATAAGGACTTCAGTGACAAACACACGTAGAGAAGAATTATGTAAGCCACCGCTAAACATCATTTTTACTCTATTAAAATAAATAAAATCATTTCCAGACTGTATATACTCGGTCATTTGTACCTGTATTAATTTATATACCAATTATTGATCGAGTTTCAATGATAATAATATATTCTTACGACGTGATCTAATTCAACAGATTAGGTTCTCACAATTGCCTCTATTCTATACATGTGGTTTGATTTAAATAGAGCACGTATTGGAACCTTGAACAATGGATAAGGGACGATTCATCATTTATTGATTTAATTAGTTATCCATGCCACTTTGAAGGGATTAAGAGAGATTTGTTGTCAAAGGTGTAAAGAAGGTTATAGAACGTATAATTTACGTTGAATAATGTTTAATCTAATTAAGCCCGGGTTAGATTCCCACCGGCACCAATGAAATTGTTAATTGCAATTTTAAGTGTTGATTTACCACGTGCTCGGCGGTGAAGGAAAACATCGTGAGGAAACCTGCATGTCTGAGGAATAAGAAAAAAAATATTTCAAAGACATGTGAAGTTCGCCAACACGCATTGGGGCTGCGCGGCGGACATTTCCTTGCCCTAAATCCCTCTCAGAAATGAGGGGAGGCCTGTTCCCAGCAGTGGGACGTATAGGACGTAGGCTGTAACTTTACTACTGAGTTTCAGTTAAAATGTAGTTTTAAACACTTTTAAAAACATGACATTAACAACACATTAACATATTGCTATTTCTAGTAGATATTTCTACTGACAGTTCTTTTCCTTTTTTTTTCTTAAATATTCTGCACATAAAAGTCAAAAAATGGGATTACCCATTAACATTAGTTTCACTATTATGTTTTCAAATTAAAAAAATACGCGTTTTTTGTAAGAATTAAGATTGAACAGTGAAATTCTACAACTTGAAACATCTTAATGCTAAAAAAGCTTTGCAAAAGAAATAATAAAAATAAAAATAACTTTATCCATACTATTATAATTATGAGGTATTTATAGAGTATTCTCATCTGGTTTATTGTGTATAAATGTTTTTTCAATCATTGTTGTCGAAACTATTGATGTTTCACGAGATGTACATTTATCTTAGATACGCCGAACCAAAAGATAATGGGTTTATCTAGCGTGAAGATTTTTTAACTTATGTAACAGTTAAGAATGCAAAAGGAAGATATTTAGTTAATGCAATTTTATCTGAATTAAAATCTTTGGGAGTAAATTGCGAATATTTAGTCAGACAAGGATATGATGGAGCTTCTTCGATGAAGGAAAGTTTTAGAGGTGTGCAGGCAGTAATTCGTGAGTCTCATTCAGAAGCCTTATACGTTCATTGCAGCTCATATTCTTTGTATTTAGCTCTGAGTCATTCTTGCCAGGTTCAGCTTATTCGAAACACTATTGGAATTATAAAATTGGTAGGAAATGTTATCAAGTCCTCGGAAAAACGAACCAAGTGTTTAAAAGATAGGTAATATCGAAAAAAACTTCCCTGAAACACAATGGAAAAATCTTACGGCAATGTGCGAGACCCGCTGGGTAGAAAATCATCATGGGTTGTTAAGATTTAAAGAAATTTATAAAGCTATTGTTTATACACTAGATGACTTAAGCACTGACATGGATTTTGAAACATCGTCAAAGGCTAATTCTTTCCTGAGATCAGTCATTTCACGTGATTTTGTTATAAGCTTATGTTGCTTAGGAATGTTGTTCCCGTGCACACTGGCACTATGCAGAATATTTCAATCTCCCCTATGCGATTTGGCAGCAGCTTTACAACATGTCGATTTAATTATAAAGACTATTGAAGGTATTTGCCAAAATATTGATTCAAAATTTGCTGAACTTTTCAAGAATGCTTGGAATTTGCTCAGTACTGTAAATGAGGAAATGAAAATTCCGTGAATAACGTCACGCCAAGAACATAGGGCAGACTACAACACAAAAGATCCTGAAACTTATTTTAGAATTACTGTAATGATTCCAATATTGGATAATTTCATTGATCAGCTTTAGTCGAGATTTCAAAATTATGTGGCTTACATTATCATCTCTCAACATTTTGATTTCGTCTGTGTTTTGCAAACAACAAATTAATCAAAATTATAAAGAAAACTACTTTGAGCTCTATAAAAAATATTTGGAATGGGACTTTGTAAAAGCTGAATTAGACATGTGGCGGATAAAATGGGTGGAAGAATCTGAACTAGATCGAATAGCATGTGCTATTAAAGCTCTCGGAGAATACAACCAGACGTTATTTTCAAACATTCACAAACTTTTAAAGATCTTGGCGACACTGCCTATTTCTACATGTACTCCTGAGAGGACTTTCTCTTCTCTGAAACACCTCAAAACTTATTTGAGAAACTCCACAGGCCAGGAAAGACTAAACGATTTGGGGTCAATGTCAATCCACTGCAGAATTGACATTGACACCGAGGAGGTGCTTTGTTCGCTGCAAAGAAAGATAGAAGACTAAATTTAATTTTGTAATAAGGTGTTAATATTTTTGTAATGGTATTCTAATAATTTTGTAATGGATTTCTAATATATGATAAGAAACACCATTTTATTTCTTTTATTAAAACGATTTTATGTTTTTCTACTCTTCCACAGAATCAAATTTTTAATTTATGAATATAATGGATTTTTTACTTTAATATTGAAATAGAAAAACCACTATATTCATAAATTATACATACATAAATCTACAGCGTGATAGTAAAGTCACCCGTAAAAAATATACTCACTTTTTGACTGCCTCGCGAAATGAAGCCCATTGCGATAAAAATCTGATTAAATGTTGAAAAATGAGCTCTCTTGATTGAACCGCTTTATAATAGGCCGAATTAGCTCACAGTTGTTGAAAAATAATATGATACTTTTGAATGTGCGATCATTACATATGATTACTAGCTATTTATAAATTGTTTACGGTTATTTTTATTACCAGCTATATGCAGCCTGTTCCGGGACCTTTAATGCTGCTTAACACCTAGTATTATTTAAGGGACTTAAGATCTTTTACGCCTTGCCGTCTGTACCCACTATAAATTAAAAAAAAAACTCAAACGTTTTGACGAAATACTGATGTCAGTTCGACAGTTGAAATATCCTATTTTAATTTTTTAGACTTGAATTACAACAATGTTAAAAATAACACAGAGCATTTATATCCAGTTAAATTACTAGCGCAGCTCAATATTAACGCAGAGCAAACTCTATTAGATCCAAAGGAGACGGGTGAAAGTTCATAGAAAGCTGGGCCTGATGTAACAGTAACGATTACTGCATTATTTTATGTATATACCAATAACATTTAAAAGAAAAAACTAAAATGTTTACGACTGCTTCATGGTAGAAAAAAAAAATAGGATGTTATTGGTTTGTATAAAAACAATGTTATTGCTTACGTTATGCTTACAACGTAATTCTTACACCAAGCTCTCACATTACACTTTAAAAAATATTTATTAGACTTTATTGTAAACTAGACTTTACCATTATTTTATATATTGTAGGACAATCACACATAGATGATTCAGACGCCGCCGTCCAACTAAATCCTAGACGTTTGAAATAATTATAAAAGGCAGAGGGAGTATGAATTAAAAACACTTTCTCTTTTAATGATTTAATCGTCCACTTCATCATAAACAAATAAAATATCGTCTAAAAATGGTGCATGTGCATGCATAAATTCTCTTGATGCCTTGCCCAGCTTAGGTACCATATTATGGACATTACATGACAACAGCAACCTACAGTTCTTTTTTCTACCAAGCAATTAAAATAATACTGTTAGATGGCCTCTCTACCATTAAGAGAACTGTCAACTAAAATATATGTAAAACATGATTTTGAGCTGACATGTCTCGATTTTATTCGACCTCTTAATAGCCAGCTAGAATAGTTGGATATTGATAGTTCTCTTACTCGTAGTAGGTTGCTGACCGTTTCTCGACACACTTCTATTTCATATCTCCCATCTTGTCGTATGTGTTCTCCATAATGGGACCTAGCCTACTTAATTTGATAAATACCTAAAGATGTTTTTATTAAATCACTGTGTGAGTTGGGGAAAATCATTCATCAAAATATTATTACAGCACACAAAAACAGCAGAAAATATTCACTACCACCATAAGCTCAGAGCCAAACAAACGTAACAAATGATTTGATTGACGTTTGAGTTTTTGAACTAACGTTGACATTTCCGCTTTGTGGCCTGTATAAAACATTGATAATCGATTGTGAAATCGATTTATTAATCTATTCCGTCAATTTATTTTTACGACTTTTTTGAAACCTTGAAGTGTCATTATTTAGATATTAATTAGATACTAAGTTTCTTCAACCTGCCTAAAAAAGAAAACACTGAATCACTTTTTATTCTTTTTTTCTATTTTTGTATTAAAATCGATTAGCTAACCTATTTCATCTGGCAACATTGTTTAAAAATGAAAATAACGGAAGTCAGTATTATTTTTATTAAGTATTTAATTTCTTTTGCCATGATAAAACTGCTTAATATTTCGTTATTAACTACAAAAAAAACTGTAAAAAATATTGATATATGTTTCAATTATGTAACGTTAGGCCCAAATTCGCCCGTCTCCTTTAGGAAATAATTTTCTTCTTAAAGTAAAGCAAAAGGATCGTTTAATTGCGTGTAAGAAAACGGTGTAATAAACTTAAGATTTGCATAAACTTTAACGAAGATATATTTAAAGAAAAAGGAATTTCGTTTCCTTCAATATGTAGGATTTATTCCTGATCAATATTTTTCCATTTTACTTTATCGCTTCGCCATAAATAATATTTATCGATTTAATTTTATTTTTAATTGCAAAAATAGAATGCCTAATTGCGAAATTTACATAGACCATGGTTTTTAAAAATATTTCCAGATATTACGAGTATAAGCAAAAAAGGGTAAATAATTTCGTGGTGTAGTGTAACCCCCACGACATTATATATTTGGGTTAACTGTACAATAAAGAACAGTATAATTAAAGTTATAGTATCAACAACACGTCTCCTTCATTGACACCTTTGCCACTTTGCACACCGCCAGGCGATGCGCTATGATAATGCACGTGTACCGCCGGGCCTAGTGAAAGGGTGGAAAATATAATTTAAATATTACAAATTTAAATAATGAAGACATTAGTGAAAAAATTGACAAATAAAAAATAATAATTCAATGGAAGGGACGCAATACTGGACGTGACAAGAAAAAATAAGAACATAAGAAAAGGTCACAATATTACAAAATTTTAAATAAAGTAACAGAAAGTATTTAATAAACTAATAAAGATAAACTTAAAAAGGCAAATGTTATGAAATTTGAAAAAAAAATATTATGAAGATTAAAACATTTAATAGTGTTAATTATAAGCAGTAGAACAAAGAAAGAAACAGCAGTTGTATTCCAGCAAGCTTAGCTCAGAAGAATATGAAAATTGAGCCAAAAATAAAGAAGTAATAAAGAGGGTAACAACGCATTAGTGTAAAGTTCAATTTTAAAACTTCATCAGCTTAATTTTTATATTATTTTTTGCTATTTATATATTTTAAAGTTATGTATTTAATGCTGTATTAAACATATGACTAAGTTGAAATTATTTATCAGATAATACACGATACAATTGATTAATCGATATTTTTATTACTATTTCTAGAAAAATGCAGTCATAATACAATATATAATTAAGTTACATTTTAATCACTTATCTAGCAGTTGATTTTATATTCATTACTAGCTGTTACCCGCGGCTTCGCCCGCATGGCCACTGGGAAATGAATTATCCATTGCTTTTTGAATTGAAAGAAAACTGAGTTTTATAGATTTGTCAGAGATGCAGCCATTAAAAGGAAACTGAGCGAAATTGATTCGTCAGCCTATTTAAATGTTTTGAAACGCCCTGGAAAAATGGCCTGTTTATTCCAAATGGAAATGGGATATTTTTTTAATTAAAGGAAACTGAGCATAATTATCCGTCAGGGATGCAGACTTTTGAAAAAAAACTGAGCTAAATTGATTCGTCAGAAATGCAGTTTTCTGAATTGAAACGAAACTGAGCCAAATAAAAGATCCGTCTGAGATGCAGCCTTTTGAGTTGAAAGGAAACTGAGCTTAATAGGTCCGTCAGAGGTGCAGCATTTGGAATTGAAAAGAAACTGAGCTAAATAGAAATTTTGAATTGTAAGGGAAGATCTGTGGGAATTCTGATTAATTGATTGCGGGAATTTTGGAAAAAAAAACTAACTGAACACTATTTTAAGACGCTACTGTACACAATTTTATATGTTTTTCCATTCGGGGAAAGAATGTGGAGATTCAGGGCATTTGACACACGCGAACATGCTACATACAGCTAACCATGAGAGAAGCACGGTTTTTCTAAGTTGACCCCCGCTACCTGTAACTTTTGCCCTTGCGCTTTATTAATTGTCATTGCAAAACTTAGCTTAATAGGGAACAGCAACCTTTTGAATTGAAAAGGAAGATCTGTCGGAATTATAGGGATCCGTGGTATAATAACATTTTCACATTTTCCTACGCCTGTCAAAATTGTAGCACCGATTATGTTCCGTCCAAGATGTGTCACACGCAACCTTGTCTCTTTACATAAACGAGGAGTATCTAAATTCGCATTAGCATGAATGGTACGCCTAATTTTAATTGAAGCTTATGTGAGGGCACACCTGACAACTCTAGAGAATTTAGAAACTCTGCGGGATATGAAGTGCTCTGTTCTGTGTCCATAACTGTGTCTACTGACAAATACTCTGTTATTTCTCCTGCTACTTCGCTTAATATATCTAAATTTATTTTGTTAACGCTCTCATTTTTTGGTGCAAGAATCGCCCTTTCACATAACCATTTGTCTTCATGCATGTTGTTCGTTAAATCTGAATAAACGCTCGCAATTAATTCGGAATGACTCTGTACTAAATAACAAAAATCTCTCGTCAATTTAACGCAGCCCTCAGCATCCGTTTCCAACCGCCCATCGCCAATTTTTAATAGTGTGTCAGCATAGTTTCCAGCACTGATATCATTATACAAATGCACTCTCATATCCCTCGTAGTTACAAAAGATGTCAAAAACTCGTTTTTGTTCGGGAAGCAAGCAGAGTGCAAATTAGACTACTTGCTGCTGTAAAGCTGGTATATCGTAGTTTGTTCCACGTATAATTTCATCACTTAGTTCATTTTTGGTTGTTCGCTAAGGGTTTATCATTCCAAAGTCGCTTTATTTTTTGCCTACCATTTCCAATACTTTATCTTCAATTTTTCCAAGTACTTCATTATAAATGTAATCATTGTATGTCATGTTTGCGTGTATCTGCTGTAACCTTTGCAAAATATCTTCCGCCATGTACTCTTTATATTTGTCCCACAATTCATGTGCATTAGATAGCCCGCAATATGATATGAGAGTTGCATAAAGATCCTTGATGTTGGCTGGT